TGACCTCAACTCATGTCAAACCTGTGAATGAGATGTCTCCAAGCCTTGAATGAGTTAACTTTTTTTCCTATCTGCCTTCTTCACTGTTCTTCTCTCACATCCATACATGGTGATGAGGAATGAAATGGCTTGAACAAAATGCAGCTTTGCATGACCCCTTTGCCATTTGGGAACCATTCTGTTTCTCCATATTATTTTCTTACAGTGGCCTCCTGTTCTAAGCACAGATTCCTCATGAGGACTATCAGATGTAGTGGCACTCCCATTTCTTTAAGAGCAGGGGTAGGCAACCTTTTTGAGCTGGGGGCTGGGTTACTGTCCTTCAGACAATTGGGGGGGGGGCAAAACACCATAAATAAATAAATAAATAAATAAATAAATAAAATATTTTTTTTAAAAAAAATTAAAACTTAAAAAAATATGCATGCACACTCCCTCAGTCCCAGAAAAGCCATGGCAAACCCCCTGTGGAGATTTTGCCAAGAAAACCCCAAGAACAAGTAATAACAACAATAATCAATATCATCATGGTGGGCGGCAGTGGCGGGGGGTGGCAGCAGTGGCAGCAGCGGCAGCGGCAGGACAGGCTTGGACTGGATGGCCCTTGTGGTCTCTTCCAACTCTATGATTCTATGATTCAAAGGCCTCGGGGGGGGGCATCCAGTCCCCAGGCCTTAGGTTGCCTACCCCTGTTTAAGAGCATTCCATAGCTTTTAGTAATCTATGCAGTCAAAGACCTTGGACGTTATCACACGCGCAGCAAGAAAGCGGCAGCAGCATCATTCCGGTATGGTTCTGGTCACGGCAGCTGTAATTCCTTTTTGAAAGAGGAATTACAAAGAACTGGGATGATGCAGCGATGGTGGAGGGATGATGCAGGGATGGGCGGGGTTTGCTGCGACGTCATCTAATCACAGGGCAAAGGATCCAGAATGATGCAGCGATGGTGCAGGGATGATGCAGGGATGGGCGTGGTTTTCTGCGACGTGGTCTGATAACTTTGGCAAAGGATCCGGAATGATGCAGCGATGGTGCAGGGATGGGGCTGCTTTAGACCCCGTGTGATAACGTCCCTTGTTATAGTCTATAAATGCCATACAATAAAACAAAATAGAATCCTTTCATATTTTATATTGTGTTGCATTGTAAAGACTTTCAAAGTAACTGGAATACATTATTACCCAATCTGTTGTTGTTGTTGTTGTTGTGTACCATCAAGTTGTTCCTGACTTAAGGCAACCCTAAGATTTTCTGGACAAGTTTTGTTCAGAGGAGGTTTGCCATTGCCTTCCCCTGAAACTGAAAGCATATGACCTGCCCAAGGTCACTTACGCAGTTCCACAATTTATGTTCCAGTATGGCACTGTTGTTATTTACCATCAAGTCAACCTTGACTTGTGGTGACCCTATGAATGAGAGACTTCCAAGAGTCTCAGCTATTAATTGCCCACTCAGGTTTTGCAAACTCAGAGTTTTGTTGTTATTGTTAACTGCCTTCGCATCGATCTCGACTCATGGCGACCCTATGGATGAGACATCTCCAGCCACCCCTATTCTCTACTACTCTGCCCAGCTCCTGCAAACTCATATTCTTGGTCTCTTTAATGAAGTTTATCCATCTAACATGTGGCCTTCCTCTCTTTCTACTTACTTCTACATTTCCTAACATTATTTTTTCCAATGATTCATGCCTTCTCATGATGTGTCCAAAGTACGACAGTCTAAGTCTTGTCATCTAGGCTTCTAGCTATATCTCTGGCTTGATCTGCTCTAGGACCCATTTGTTTGTCCTTTTGGTTGTCCATGGGATCCTCAGCACTCTTCTCCAGCACCACATTATCTCAAATGTGTTGGTTTCCCTCCTATCTTCTTTCTTGACTGTCCAGCTCTCATATCCATTCATGCTAATAGGGAGTACAATGCTTGTATGATTCTGACTTTTGTGCTGAGTTGTATGTCTTTCCATTTTAGCATCTTTTCTAGTTCTTTCATAGCCGCCCTCTCTATTTTTAATCTTGATTTCTTGAATGCAATCTTAATCCTGATTTCTTGGATGCAGTCCCTGTTCCAATCAATGTTTGATGACAGATGTGATAACTCCTATACTATTTCTATTTCCTCATTGTCTAGTTTGAATGTATGTAAGTTCTCTGTGGTCGTTATTTTTGTTTTCTTTATGTTCAACAGTAAGCCTGCCTTTGTACTTTCCTCTCTGATCTATGAGCTCTGGGTTCCTTTATTGAGTCAGTCCATCTATAGTGTGGGATTCCTCCTTTCCTACTAGTTCCAACTTTACCAAGTATTTTTATCTTTTCCAATGATGATAATCAAATTTCCCATCATTTCATGATATGTCCAAAGTACAATACCCTCCATTTAATAATGTTAGCTTCTACTGACAGTTCAGGCTTAATTTGCTCTTGGACTCATTTATGGCAGTATCTGTAGACATCTTCTCCAGTAATAGATTTCAAAAGGGGTTTTCAGAACCATGTACCTGTATAGAAAAGATGGTTTTGACTTTGATATTCTATCATATATCTTATACTTGCAAATCTTATCTAGTTCCCTCATAACTGCCTTTCTAGCTCTTAGTCTTCTTCTTATTTCTTTTCTATAGTCTCCATTTTGATTGCTGACTAAGGGCCTTTGCAAACTGCCAGAAATAGTGCACATTAAATTGAGGCACTGCCCTGGCTCAGTGCTAGGGAATCATGGGAACTGTAATTTATTGTGGCACCAGAGCTCTCTGGCAGAGAAGGCTCAATGTTTCAGAAAAAAATACAATTCCCATGACTCCCTAGCACTGAGCAGGGGCAGTGCCTCAATTTAATGTGCACTATTTCTGGCAGTCTGCAAAGGCCCTAAGGCAAACTTTAAAAAAATGTTTAACTACAGTATTTCCATGTTTTCATTGCCCATTTTGAATTTATGGTCATCCCCCCCCCTCCATATTCAGCAGTAACCTTGTTTTTGAACTAAGCTTCATTAGTAGTCATTTGAAGGCTTTACTAGTTTTTGTTAGTAATATGGTATCACTTGAGTATCTTAAATTGTTGTTGTTGTTTCCCTCTGATTTTCACACCTCCTTCTATCAAATCTAATTTTGCTTTCCCTATGATATGTTCTATATATAAAATAAGAATATAGGTTGATAAAATGCACTCTTTTTATCATCCCCACCAGTGGGAAACCACACTGTTTCTCCATCTTGTGTCCTGACAGTGGCTTCTTGTCCAAAGTAGAGACTATAGCAGGGCAGTCAGCTGTTATGGCACATCTATTTCACACCCACAGTTTTTTATGATCTACACAGTCAAAGGCAGTGTATACAATTTATAAAGCACAGGTTTTAAATTATGTATTCATGGCTAAAAAGTAGCAGAGGAACTATATTTGATTTACAAATTTTGCCAACATAAACTTTGTTGCTGGTAATAAATTCATAACTCTGTCCTGCTTTCTGATAACTTCCTGACAGTGCTTCCTAAATGTTATTATGTAGTCTGCATCTAGCTCAATGATGGCAAATCTTTAAGGGACTGAGTGCCTAAAAGTTACCTGGGGGTGGGACTTTCATTACTTTTGATATCAGGAGGCAAAACTGAGTGCACAAAAAAACTTGCAACTCTTAATCTATTTGCCTCCTGATATCAAAAGTAATGAATTATAAGCTGAGATTCTCTTAAATAAGTACAAAGCTAAAAACTGTCAACTAATTTAATCACTCTTTACCCCCTTTTCTCTGAAATGTTGCACCCAAAGATTGAACTCAATTGTTTATGCTCACTTGTAGCAATCACCTTTTATATTTTATGTCATTAGCATTGGATTCTGGAAACTGTGTCCCTCCCCAGTTCCTACAGTTCTCACAGAACATGGTTCTGGATCCTCTGTTAAACAGTAGCATTTACTTACTTTGTTGTTATGCAGTCATCTCTTCCAATTCATGGGGGAATCTGTTCTGCTGCCCCCACTCCAGATCGGAAAAACAGCAAATATTGGAACCCCATTCTTTTTAATAACTGCGTGGCCCTGCAGGTGTGCGCACCATTTTATCTCTCCTGGTTTCCTGTGCGCAGAAATTCAAAGCTGCAAACGGGAAGTCAGCGAATCCAGAGGGATGACTGTTTATCCAGGGTAGCTGTGTTGGCCATATAGCAAAGTACAATATCATCCAAAATCCACAAAACACTGATACCTTTATTGGGCCAACCAAAATGCACACCATAATGTTGCTAGTTTTCAAAGCTTTGCTGACTTCTTCATCATCATCATCATCATCATCATAAATTTTATTTATATCCTGCCCCTCTGTCACACAATCGAGGCAGTTCACAACAATTTAAAAACATCATACAATATTAAAATACCATCCAACCATCCACAGCCCCCCTCTTAAGAAAGAATTAAACAATTTTTGCATTAAAACAATGATTCAAATACATAATTAAAACAAACCATAATCAAACAAACAAAAATTCATCAGGCAAAGGTGTTAAAATCATACAGAAGAAAGCAGGGGGGGAAGGGGATGGTGATGATGTTAGTCATAGACCTGCATTGCTCTTCTGTATGAGAGAAGCCAGTGATGAAGAAGAAGGTGGAGCTTTAAAAGCTTGAACATGTAAATAGTGGGCCTTTGTTATTCACTGGGCTTTGGTTCCAGGTGGATGCTCAAGTCCCATTAAATACAATGGCATAGTAAAATGGTGTCCCTTATATAAAATGGCAAAATAAAGCTTTGCTATTTGAAATTTATGTTTTTTGGGAATTTTTTCAAGCTGTGGATGCTTGAATCCATGGATAAAAAAATCCGTGGATATGGAGGACCAACTGCATTATGCATTTTGGTTAGTCCACTAAAGGTATCATTACTTTGTTGTATGCCTTCTAGTCATTTCTAGCTTATGGCAACCCTAAGGTGAATCAAACCTATCATGAGATTATCTGGGGCTCAGAGTGTGTGACTCACCCAAGGTCGCTCAGTGGGTTTCCATGGCCAAACAGGGAATTGAACCCTGATCTACAGAATTGTAATCCATGCTCAAGCCAGTACACCATGCTGGCTCTACACCATTTAGAGGAGTGTTTCTCTCTCTCTCTCTCTCTCTCTCTCTCTGCCTTTTGAGGAATGCCAGTCAAAACATTCCATGCAGAGGGACTAATTTTTGTTGGTTTCACCCTAATTCTTTTTGCTTCTCTCAAAATTCATCAGATGTTTCTGCACAGAGGAAGCCTAATGTAGGGCCTTTAAAGACTGCAGAAACAGTGCAGCTTGAGGCCACTTTAACTATCCTTTCTCATTGCTAGGGAATCATGGGAATTGTATTTTTTCTGGGACATTGAGCCTTCTCTGCCAGAGAGCTCTGGTGCCACAATAAACTACAATTCCCATGATTCCTTAGCCCTAAGGACAGTTAAAGTGGCTTCAAGGTGCACTATTTCTGGCAGTCTGTAAAGGCCCGTAGTGAGAAGTCTAAATGGAATACCAATTTCCTCCAAGTGGCCCCAAGGTGGCAATGTTGCACCATTGATTTGTAGAACCAGTTTCAGACACTCTGGGGAAGTTTGTGAACGTGCTTTTCTTTTTTCAGGCAATTTTATTAAAATTTTAAATAGCTTAACAATTGTATAAACTATTAAAGAAACACAAAATTAAATGCAATAAAACAGAATACAAAAATCCCCAGACAAAATAAAAAAGAAAGAAAACAGTAAAGCTACCAGATATACTACTACATTTAACAAAGACTTCCAACTATTTTTTCTGCAGTTATATAATCCTTCCTAAATCCTACATCACTCTATTAATTTGACCTTACACATCAGCTATGCATTTAACTCATTTTTGCTGTTGTTAACTGCCTTCGATTCATCCTTGACCCATGGCAACCCTGTGTATGGAAGACCTCCAAGTCATCCTGTCATCAGCAGCTCTGCTCAGCTCCTGCAGACTCATGGCCATGTCTATGGCTTCTCTAATGGAATCTATCCATTTGGAATGCAGCCTTCATCTTTTCCTATTGGCCTCCACTTTGCCAAGCATTATAGTTTTTCCCCCTAATGAATCCTTTCTTCTCATGATATGGCCAAAATATGACAACCTCAGTTTAGTCATATATGCTTCTAGGGAGAGTTTGGTCCTGATCTGCTCTAGGGCCCATCCGTTGGTCTTTTAAGCAGTCCATGGTGTTTTATTTATATTTTCTTAAAATATCTCAAGCGATTGAGCCAAAACAAAAAAAACCCTTTATTTCCAAGATGGTTGGTTACAGTATCTTTCTTATGATTGGTAAGCAGAATTGATACAGTGTTTATTTGCTTAAACAGTTACAAAGATTTACAGTATCTGTTACCATATTCTGTAAGTGGTCTCTAGGCTACAGTTTCACATAAAACTTTTGACTAGACTCTGA